GTTTGGAATAATTGTGGTTGCGACAAATTTACGACTTCCGTTTTTCATTAAGACAGAGAAAGAGGGCCAGGAGGACTAAGAGGCAAACTAAACGAAAGAAGTAGCAAACAACAAATGAAAAATCTCCAAAATAGCAAACGCGTGCTACCATAGTATATATATGTGTGTGGGGGGGGTCTTCTTCTTTCCATTACAGACTACCGATACACTTGCATTGGATTCCATGTTGGTGCTATTTCATGGGTTCTCCTAGGCTTCCCAGACCATGTCACAAAATATACTTAGCATAGATCACATTACCAAAGTTAAAGATATGACGGCGAATGTATTGCTGCTGGTGTTCATTTTCCTGCTGCTGCTCATTTCATTTCAAACGCCAAGCGTTAAATGGCTTCTGGCGGTTTTTGTCATAACACCAAACACAGAGGAAAACTTCCTTCTTTTTCTTTTAGCCAGCCACCATTCCATTCGGAATGGCTGTCTGTTAAATGTAATAATTGCCTTAAAACTGTAACGATTTGTCACGTGCTGCCGGAGTTTCTATGCCTGATGGTATATCTGGAGTTTTGTGGAAAATTGTCTTTTCAAATGGAAAGTGTCATTTCAAAGTGTGTGCGTGTGAGAGTATGCAGGAACAGCCGTCTCTGATATTATCTCATATTACTCGTGTTTGATTCTCATATAACTGGTGGCTTTGTGGGATGACAGTTCTAATGAAAGTCATATGGCCGGTGTTGTCTTTGTGTAAGAGTTTTTGATTGAATGTTGTTGGCTGAAGGGGAGTATTTCGCTGTTTCTGTTCTTATCCCTTTTGACTTTAAGGACATCAAATATCCTTCGATTTTTTAAACCTACTCTTTAAATATCAAACATATCCTTGCAAATTCACTCTTACAAGTTACATTTTTCCAAAAAGTACTAGCTTATTTTCTAGAATTATTGGCCATAAATTCAAAGTCATTGTTAAAGTTATCTTCTTAAATTAGTCCCAAAATTGGCCCCCATTATTTCTCAAGCAACAACATTAGTTTAATTTATTTGTTCTCAAATTTAAGTAAAGCTGCTTATAAATTGATTCCATTGACTGGGTCCTATTCTTCCTTAAACAAAATGTTCCATATCTTACTTTACTTTTTTGTTGGTGTTTTCTACTTCATTTAGCAACAGACCAGCTCAGCTTTCTTTTGTTCTTTCCCTCTTCTGTGCTTCTTTAAATGATAGGGAAAGAGAAGCAATTTGCCAATGCCAGCAGAAAACAGGAACATTTCCTAGCCAGAGAATCTCCAGTGAACAATGTTTTGTTCTATTGTGATGTTGTTCAATCACCATGTCTGCAACTCCTATTACACAAAAGACCCAATGTCTACAATAAAATACCGGCCCGAGAACCTACTATAGGTCATCAGGGGTTGGCTATTTGGTGTTTTTCTATGTTTTATATTTTTGTTTCTCCTGGTATTTTTTCATGTCCATTTTCTTTATGTATAAAAAAAAAAAAAAAAAAAAAAAAAACATTTTATTGCTTCATTTTTGGCAGCACAATTTTATACTGCCATCTTTTGTTTTCCTGGTAATGCTGGCCATGTTTGAAGAAGGCATTGTTGCAGGATTCGAAGTTAGGTTTACTTTGCTAGCTGGTGTTTGTATTTCGTTGGTTGTTTTTCGGTTATTTTTCTCTTTTTCTGTTATTTCATTTTCACAAATGTTTTTATTACCTTCATATTATTTGCACCTTTGTTGTTTTATTATATATATATATATATATATATATATATATAGGGAGTTTGTTGTGTAGCGGCAGGACAAGCATGGCTTTGTTGGTGTTTATGAGTTCTATTTGCAAAGGAAAAATTAAAAAAAAAAACTACAATAACAAAGTATGTTCTTAATGGTCAATAGTTATTGTGGTTATCATGAATATAATAGGATTGAAGGCCACCATGTAATGGTAGGAAGGTAGAACGGAAGGAAGGTTCGAACCATGTTCATTGAATTGCTTCAAAATTAAATTATCTTAATGTGTCTGCAGGAAAAAGTTGAAATTTAAAGACCAATGAAATACGGTGAAATAAAAAACTAAACTTAGGGGAATGTTGGTGGAAAGATCCAAGAATTAATATGCTCCGATTTCTAAAAACTATATTTTCGAGAATCACCAATAATGTTGAAATCTTCAAATTAATGATGCTTTAAATAGTCACGAATTATCAGGGGACGTAGTTTTTTTAAAGAATATTTTAGAAGGACTACCGATAAGAGTTCATTTTTAAAGAAAATACCCTATTTGGTCCAAGGACCTTCTATAAGCGTACATTTTTTAATAAAAATGTTTTCAAGGACCTTCGATAAGGGTGTATTGTAATTTTTTTTTTAATTTGTCCATCGTGGAATAAGGGGTGTTTTCTTCAAATACTTTTTTCAATGGCCAATAAGGCCTGAATTTTTATGGTCCTTTTGAGAATATGCATAGAATCGCTTTCTGAGTCGATTTATGCATGTCCGTCCGTCCGGCTGTCCATGTTAAATTGTAAACAAAGTACAGGTCGCATTTATGATTCGAATTGGATGAAATTTGGCACAGCTCATTTATTTGGCCCAAGGACGAACCCTATTGAAATTGAGAAAAATCGGTTCAGATTTAGATATAGCTCCCACATGTAGTTTCTTCCGATTTAATGTAAATGGTGCACCAAAGTCCCTTTATATCATTCGATTTGGACGAAATTTGGCATAACGTACTGAATAAACCCTAGAATGGTGTGTGTTAAGTTTCATGAAAATCGGTTCAGATTTAGATATAGCTCCCATCTATATTTTCTCCTCGATTTGATGTAAATGGTGCACCAAAGTCTCTATATATCCTTCGATTTGCACGAAATTTGGCATAGCGTAGTGAATTAAGTCTTCAATGATGTGTGTTAATTTTTGTAAAAATCGGATCAGATTTAGAAATAGCTCCCATATATATTTTCGCCCGATTAATTGTAAATGGTGCACCCATATACATATATATCTGACCGACTTCGTGTTAATTCGGCTCCAAATATTCAACGGGAGACCGATTGATATTTGCTTTAAGTCGATTTACATAATTGTGTCCCATGATAGCAAACGAATGGCATGTTTATGGATTGATCTAAGTCGATTCACATTTAAATAAAGGCCACATGTTTTAGGTCATTAAGGGGACCCCCCCATTCTCGGGGTCAAAAAATTTTTTGATTTAGTTCTAATCTATACGAATTCAAGAAAGTCCCTACAAAATTTCAAGTGAAAATCTCAAGAACCCTTGAAGATATAGCCGATTTATTGTGTCAGCATCAAGTCACGGCTGAAGGGCTTCTCAAACTTTAAACGCGTTTTTCTCTAAACATTTTTTTGCGAATGACGGACGATAACTCAATAACTAATAATCCAATCGGTTCCAAATTTTGACACGTTTCTCTGCGAGTGTATAGCTCTCGTATGAACTAGGATATAGCCAATCGGTGAAGAACTTCCTTATTTTTAACTTAGTTTGTGGTAAAAAATAGGAGATTTTCCAAAATAAAAAAAAAAAATCAAAGTTCCGTTATTTTGTTAATTGTTGTGCGAAGTCAATAATCCTAGTTCATACGAGAGCCAGACATGTACTCTTTCTAACACCGTTGGAATTTTCGGATTCCGATGTTCCAGTGAGGAGTTATCATGCCCGCCATAAAAAATAAGGAATTGTCTTTGATCACAAAAAACAACAACAATCCTAAATTCGCGTAGATATATAAACTATCATTAAATAACGTTTGAAAGTGTTAAAAATGCGCCAATCACAATCTCTAAACTCATAAAATGTGAATAATTGGCAATAATAATTGTTTTAGTCCCTGTATACCAAAGGAAAACCAAGGTAGTTTTTGATTTCTACGAGTCGCCCTGATGGCCTCATGTTGTCTAGGGCCACAAAATTTTGCAGAGGGGTTGAGGAACACCTAAGTAAGATCCCAATAAAAAAATAACTAAAAAAGCTTAACCCATTCGTAAGCTATAACGAATTTACTATGATTGTTTTAGATAGAATATCATTTAAGCGTGGATTTAAATATATATTGTTTTAATGTATATATAATTTTGAGTTCCTACATCTAGATCAGATTCGTATAGACTAATTTAAAACAAAAACCCTCACGATAGTCCAATTTTTTAATGAGTTACAGAGCTATCTTTGGATGGGTACAAATGTTCCACGGTTATTGATCTACGTATACTTGGTTGGTTATTGACCGTAGGGTTAAAGAGACCATAAATAAGCGTGTTTTTTTAAAAACATATTTTCGACTAATATTAAAAAAATATTTATTTTTTAATGAGTGGATTTTTGCAAAAACAGTTTTTTATAGGGGAATTCCTTAAAATATAAAACCAAGAAATTAATTTAAAAAGTTAAAAAAATCAATATATATGAGAGGGTACATAGGACCTTATACTGATCAACATACTCATGCCTTTCATCTTTCTTTCTGCTTAATGGCACCCTCTTCCAATATTGTTCCAAATTTCTCGCTAAAAACTTCCTGTTTAACATTCATTTGGTGGAAAATTACGTTTTATCCTCGATAATCATAACAAGAAAAGCAACAAATTTCTTCAAGAGCCATCGAAACTTTTTTCTCAAAAACCATCAAATCAAAAAGTGATTTCCAACAACTTCAAAAATGGTCAAACGACGAGAAACAAACAAAAACAAAATCTCCCCACAGTTTTTATAAATATTCCGCTTTTTTGATGATAGAATCTGGTGGATATCTGCAAGTTGCATTTTGTATAAACACAATTGACTACAAGTATTGAAAATGAGTTTACCAAAACTCAAGATATTCATGGCGTTTCCAAATGGAGTTGGTGCGATGTGCACCCACTATGATGATGGCAGATGACAGGGTGTTTGATGATGAAGACGATGATGACTGTTTGCCACTCGGGTGATGGAAAAACGTGTAAATGCATAAACAATATTCCACAAGAACGATAGCAGCAGCAACAACACTTGTCCATCAACAACATCATGAAAAAGCGCCAACAGGAGCAGCAGCAGAAACATCACCATCATCATCATGGAATCAATGTACACAAATGACATTAATGTAAACAACTTAAGTGCAACACAATTTAGAACAAAAAACTGCGAGAAAAAATGATTTACAAAAAATAAGAACAACAAAAACGTCAAAAAGATTTCTTAACAGAACTGCAAGAAATAAAAAAAAAACATTGTGTGCGACACATAAAAGAGAACAGCCAGCAAAAACTTGCAATGTAAATAGAAGTAGCGAATGAAAACGATAGAAACAAAAAAATCTCGTAAAAGAAAATCTCCATACTTTGAGTAAAAGATGGAGCAACACAAATGGAAAACTTTAAATACACTTCATGGCATTTTCAACATAAATGGACTTTTTCTTAAAGGACCAGCATCAACACCGGCAACACCAACAGCAATCATGTCATAAGAAATCTTCGTAAAAGGACCATAGTAGAGAATAATAATGACAAAGCATTGAATAGGAATGTAGTAAGCACGGTAGGCAGAGACGGATTTCTTGTACCCTTCAAACGTGTGGCTCAAATATAAAATTCTTGGACAGATGATAGTAATATAAAATTTATTAATTTCAAAGCTATGTCAAATTTTGAATTCTGCATTCGGATGCAAAAGAAGTAGCTAGCCGAACATCCTCGTCGGGATATAGATTGTTATACAAAAAGATCGGTCTACGACGAATAGTAGGTTATAATATTTGGTGGGGTTACAAATTCTTGTGCCAAACCAATATTTCTAACACCCTCTCCGCATTTCTATGTAGGGTATAAATACTTAACATAAAAATCTACAATACCAACAAAAAACATCTCCAACGAAGAAATAGAAAAAGAACGAATGGTGTTAAAGAAAAAAACTCAAACAGTGTTTCATTTTCAACACTCTTGATTTGTTCTGTTCCCTTTTTGTTTAGTTTTCAAATCCCTTCACTGGAGCCTGATAGCAATTGATGAAGTCAAATAGCGGTTGTGGAGAAAGGAAGCGGGGTATTGGAAACTACAAATCCTTTTTGGCATTATAAATATGATTGAGATCAACTTAAGTTTATGGAACAACAGACAATATTCCATTTTTTATGTAAATTTGTTTGTTTGCTCCACTACGTTTTGGTGTAAATGAAACCTTTTGAGATTTGTGTAACAAGTTTTGATGAATTTGGGGAATTTGAATGCAAAAAGGGAGCCAGTTTCATGAAAATGGTAAAAAAGTGTATTGAAAAATATATTTACATAGTATTCCTTTATCAAGTGATATACTCAAAGGAAATTATTAGAAATGTTGAGGAGAATACGGAAAAGAAGTGAAAATGAAGGACTGCAGGGAAAAATGAGGATTGTTTGGCAGTTTATTATGTTTGATGGCTTTGATGTATGTTACAAAAATAAACTCCAAAACATTCACATTGAAGTAGAATTGGAGTTTCTTAATAAAAGAAGGGCAATATAAAAATATTTAGGTAAATTGAAAGTATACAGGAAATGAAAACTTGTAGAAGAACTAATGAATATATCTTCCCCATACTTTTTTTTCAAATGTCTTGTGATATTTTCATATTTTTCGCTTAAAACTATATACATTTTTTTTTAACCCTATATAACGCACTATATATTTTTATACCCTACACAACTATGTTGTCAGGGTATTATACCTTTGTGAGTTCCCAAGTGTTTGTAACGCCGCGAAATATTGGGCCTAGACCCACCTTTAAGTATACCGATCATATATCGACTAGCTGAGTCGATCTAGGCATGTGTCTCCACCCGCCCATGTGTCCATTATATTTTGTAAAAACGATACAGGCCACTGTTATGAATCATCACGAAATTTTGAATGTAGGTCGGGTTCTGGCCTTATTGTTTTCGGTAGTGATCGGTTAATATTAAGGGGGTAAAATGGACCAAAAACTTAATTTTGTCTGTTTTCTGGTCGTAGTGGTCACAATTATAACCCGAACACCACAAAATTTTACATATAGAAAGGAATCGGACCATAGGAAAAGCATGACTGTTTTGATGTAAATCGGTCAACAATGGACCAAGACTTTTGAGTGAAAAATGACAAAATATGTATTATTTGGCGTAGATATTTACATCTGAATGACATAAACCCGAAAAGGTGTTAGTACGTGAGACTGGGGCACCTTCGGCATCGGGGCACATTGGAAAAAAAATAAATGAAATAAAAATATAGAAAGCACATTTGGCATTTTGAAGTGGGGCACATTCGGCCATACACAGATAGTGCAATATTATTTCCTTAAAATTCTTTTGAGTTTGTCCTTTAGCATGGTTCGAAATTACAAATGTAAGACCAAACGTTCTTGTATTGTCGAAAATGTGATAGAAAAAAACTATTTCTGATGGTGCATGGGGCCTTGAGACGTCAACGTCCGCCGCTAGAAAATAATAAAGGTTCTGAATTCCAACCAGACTGATAGCGGTGATAATTACCAGGATATGACTATGGTGCTGAATGTGCCGCATCAAATGCCGAAGCTACTCCGGGTAGGGACGAATTTGACTTTTTTACAAAACTGTAAAAATGTTTCACTAATGCTAATTTATTATAAGTTTTTGGTATTAGTTTTTATAATTAAGTATCAGACGACAATAAACTGCCTTAAAGTTTTTATATCTGTTGAGTAAGTACTGAGATATAGAGCTCTAAAAAAATGTCGAATGTGCCCCAGTCTCCCCTATACCCAAGAGGAGTGGTTGACCTTTAAATTGATATCAATCATATTGTTGTATGTACTCGGATGTGGGACATATATCTAAATATTCAGGGGGAACTACGTACCATTACCACGCTAGAGGGCGGAAATGTAGCGGCGAGGGCTAGGAAATTTTGTTTGAAGTTCCGGTTATGGTCGACGACGCCAATAATTTTCGATGTGTATCGGGGATAAAATGGTCTGGTCGCTAAAATCGCCTCAATTATAAGGCGAACACCACAAAATTTTCAATAGGGAAGACGATCTGACGAACTAATTCAATGAAATGTCAATATTTAACGGGTCAAATGAACCAAAAATTTTTGTGTAAAATACCAAAATATATAAGCGTACCGATTGATTTTAGCGTACCGATTGATTTTAGGTATTTATGAAAATCCCAATCTGGTGGAAGAATTTTTCTTATTTTGGTTCATATTCTGACCAATTTAAAACATTTTGAAGGTCATGTATTCATTTTCTTACCAAAGTTGCCGTAATTTTAATAATTTCCATTAAAGGTCCAAGCTTTGAACAAGTTTTTATTATAAAATTTTGTTTTTTATTTTGAACAAAAATCTCTATTTGTCGATACTATTTTTCGATACTAATCTAATCTTCATTCTTCTAATCTTCATTCTTCGAAAATAAAATTATTTTAAGCTGATAATAGGATATTATTGCAGTGACCAGTCCTGCTTAACTTTAGATTTTTAAAAACTTTTTACAGACCCCCTTTGGAATTTAAGGGAGTTTTATACCGGAATTGGCTGTATTGACAAATTTTTTGGCTCTATTTCCTAATTGTCTCTAATTTAATTTTTTAGATTCTCGTTGGGTGCCAAATCTTCTTAGCAAAAATTTACCATGACATTTAGTCTGCCATATATAAAGGCCCCTGACGATTACATGTATTTTAAATGTCCACCTCATGGTAGAAGGAACAAATAGTTCCGTATGGCTAAATTTTAGTTTCTTCATTCTTGTTTTATTTCAATTGTTAATCTTTTACATACCAAATTTTATAAAATAACTAATGTTTTTTATTTTTATTTCATTTCAGGTAAGAACAATATTTTAATTGCTATATGAGTAAGTGCATATTGTATTTTAAGCGTCCCTTACAAAATCGAATTAACCTCTAAGTAACCACAAACCACAAAATATTGACTTAACCCCTTATATTCTCACGCTAATAGTCCTGAACAGTACACCCCCCAAAAAAATTGTAGCAATGACAACTATTAACTTCTAATTCCATTTGAGGTTAATCAAAACTTCATCAATTAGTTCCGCCATTCTAATAAATAATTTAATTAGAAAGGAGGAGGTCTTAACATGTCAACTCCAATGACAGATAGATAAACAAACAAACAGTCAACGGAAAATAAAAGCCACAAACGCATTAACAAACAAAAATTAATCCTTTTTGGAAGAGGAATGGGAATAAATGACTGATAAATTATTTGATATTGCAGGCGTTACTAATAAAATGTTAACCCTTTTAATGAGGAGGAAATCTGTGGGGACTTCAATGAAATATGGATGAACATATTGTTTCGAAAATGGTAAAGTTAGAAGGAGAAGACACTGCTATAATCTCCCTCCAAATATCCCTAGATATATAAAAAGGGTATTCAACCAACCTTTAGCCAACATCCAAATTATACTAAATCCCGTCTAAGCTCAGATGTTATTTGTTAAAAATTATACATTTTAGAAGAACTTAACCCAATCCATACTGAAGAATATATTGACAGTCCTCAAGGGAACCTTTTCATATTCAATGGGTTAATTACTATTAACTACATTTTGACAAACCCTTCTTTCATTCAACTGCAACTAAACAAACAAAACATTAACATGACAACAACCCCACTTTTGAAATCGAAACACACACACAAACGGCTAAATGAGGGGCGGAAATTCAAAGCGACAAACATTTCAACAGTTATACAAATAGATAACAACAACAATAACGCCTGAAAAACGATTGAGATTAATAACATTTGATATGTTAAATAAACAAATTAATGCAATCAAATAAAGGATAATCGAGATTTATTAACGATGGAAGGAATGTTGCTGAAAACTTTCTTTGTGTTTGAGTGTGTGGTACGCGTGTGGGGATGGCTTCTAATTAACGCGCCACCAAGCCACACAAATAACACCCTTCAGAGAAAAGTTGTTGTTTTCCACATTTGTCTCAATTTTCTTTCAAGAAAAACAAACTCACATTCTTTATTCTTTTCTAGTCAAAAACAGATATCTCGAACGAGAGAGAGAGAGAGCAGGATAGACATCCATGTCTGTCTGCCAACCACTATGTTATTT